ATTTTACAAATGGATCAGTCTCAAAAACCCACACTTCAAGTTAGCTCATAACACAGGTCTCCCGCCTCCATTGACCTTGACCTCCAGTTCTGACTCATGAGAGACAGAAAGCCCTCCGGAAATCTAAGAGAGGGAGGTCAACCATCCTGAGCTGCAAACTACTTGTTGGTTCATGTATAATTTAAAACCAGCTCCAGAATGTAGAAAACTCAAATCAAATGCAGACACTGAGATGAAAGTAATGATTATTAATGGATATGACGATTTTAACACCTTAACTGCACAGACATATACTGTATACTATATTTCACTCCTCGACTCTAAAGTCACTCTTTCTGATTGGCTCCAAAAATTATTCAACAAAGTACCAAAACGACTTACAATTCCACAGGCGTTATTAACTGAATGAGTGGTGCAGTTATAGAAGCTTGAGTAACTCCACAGTTAAACCCTGCAGTTGGCTCAAATACAAATACAGTTTATCACCTGAGATTTCCTGAAGGTCATTCAGAATTGTCCTTACATTAGAAAAGCCAAAGAGCAGATGTCAAGAACATATAGCAAGAGTAAACGCTGTTGTGCAAGGACATTATACAGAACTTCCTTACAGGTGAACAATGAAAAAATAAATAAATCTGATTTCTGTAAAAACAAAATCTCAAACTACAATAATTCACTGTTAACAATTTCATTTAGCCTTTTTTTACTGATCAAATGTGTCATTTTACTATACTAATTTCTTAGATTTTGTAGAAAGCTAATGAATTATATTCATAGCTATTCATACAGAATTACTGTATATTAGTTATGCTATGAAAGCTATGAAAACTTAGGCCTACAATGGCTGTTAAACTAAAACGCATACATATATAAGTACATACAAGTACATAAGTACAGACAATGTACATACGACTTAAAATATTAATATACGCAACAGTGAAACCATTAAAGATCATTTTTAACCACAGCATCAATGGAAAGTCTTAGCATAACTCGTTAATACAGTGCATTAAAGTGTAAACATATTTTTAGTACCATTATGACAAAAACAGTTATATTATCTTCAATTATATTGTACCTAAAAAGAGCCATCATAAATACTGTAATATCTGGTCCTAACAGCACACTTTCAAGGCTCAGACTAGACCTTACAAGGTCAAAATAATATCACATGAGAAATAAAGTGCCTTTCAGTATCTGCATAGGTACAGTTAAGGCAACTACATAGAAACACTAAAGTCCTCCCTTCTATCACAAAATTCCTAATGGATGAAACATTTCCTAATTTGAGCTTGCACTCTTCTGTATCAAAAAAGAATTTGTTACTGTTTTTGTCAAGAAAGAAAGCTCAGACTTAGATTTCTATAATAGTTTGTTTTGTCTGCAGAGTGGTGACACAATGGAATAAGTGTGATTACTAAAGAGCTACTGTGCACCAATGAAAGCATTCACTTCTGTTGACACCCATACATAGTCCAATAGGTATCGTGTAGCTCTGAGAGCAGCAGACAGGTCAATGTTTTACAACCACCCCATGATTTAAAGGTAAGGTATCTTTAGTATAGTACAACCCATGTCAGAGCTGTATGCCTGTTTCATTCCGTACCGAAACCCCGCGAACATCACAGTATATAAATATTTTTTAGGCTTCTGTTTTTTCTTTTCACAAAATTGTTGCAGGCATCATGCTGGACCAGGGGACAGGAATGCTACCTCACAGCACTGGTGCCCTGGGTTCAATTCTAGACCCTGGGAATCTGTGTAGTTTGTATGTTCTCCTTGTGTTTGCGTGGGCTTCCTCCGGGTGCTCTGGCTTCCTCTCACAGTCCAAAGAAATAAATTGTCTTCTGAGAAGCCTGGGCCAGGTGTGACTGTGAGTCCATGCTTGTGTCTGCATTTGCCCTGCAAAGCACTGGTGTTCTGTCCAGGGTGTATTCTGCCCTGCACCCATTGCACATTGCTTGCCTGGGATAGTCTATGGCTCCCCTGGAGCCTAAGTTGTAGATTCCATACTGTGTTATTTAATGGAACTATGAAAACAGTAAATGGAACAAATATACTTCACGTAACAAAACACTGACTGATGGCTGAAATTACAGTATTCCATTAACTAATGACTTACTACAGGGAGGCCATCACATTATATCATAGTAGCTTTACTTATTTTCTCTTTAAGAGCACAAATACTCTTTTTGGGGACAATGGAAACAAAGCCTTGTACATCTGTTTTAGGCAACCCTTTCTTCGTAATGTATGATAATAAAGACAGGAATAAATATTCTATTTATTTACTACACACGCATACATAGTCTTTCATAAGTCAAATGTGTGAATTCAGTCTTTTTTTAACAACACTGAATGCTATAACGCATCTTTCTAAACAAATGGGATACTGCTCAGCATTATGAAAATGCCAAAATAAAGGAATTAAGTGAAGAGGAAAAAACAAGTTTCTTTCCTAGGGGATCTCCCAGGTTACAAGGGCAAAGCTGGTTATGTGCTCTAGATGCACAGCCCAGACTGCTGCAAAAAGGTTTAAAGAGTACAAATCCCATACATTAGAAAGAAACAATGCCTCCCTAGTGAGAGGGCACACACGTATACAGTGGATTAACTTCATATTGTTGGTACCACTGAAACATATTCTTTAGAAAGTCAGTATGGAGTTTGCATGGAGTTGCAGAAAGTGGGCTAAAGTCTACTAACAGGGGAGGTCTCCCTGTTTAAAAATAAACAACAAAAATGAAGCATAAATAACCTATACATCTTCTCACCACTTGAGAATGAATTACTCTCAGCTGTTTCATTCACCATTTATTTCATTCATGATAAATGTTCAGAAGAAGAAATAACAAGATATTGTTATCTGGAGAGACGCAACAATGACAAGAGACTGGAAGCAGAGACAGTGTACAACACAGGAAAAACATACCCGTAAAACAGGGAAGATGGCTCAACAAATGAAATCTGCCAAATGAAAAACATTCAGCCAGTACCAAAAATACCTATCAAATAATTGTTAATGTCAACTAGCACCAAAAATATCTATTAAAACATTCACATTTTCTACATAATTTATCTGTAAAAAAGTTGACAGATGCAGATAAACGGTCAATAACAGAACTACTATATATATGCAGCCCTTCCAATTCTCTCCACTACAAGACTGATACAATCAGCAGTGTAACTGCTAAACCGATTCTGCTAATTATTCATTAAATAATTACAGAACTATATCTTCTAATATGCAGCAACTGAGTAGATTTAATGCGCAGACTAGCCAGGGTGTGTTGCATTGTACTGTATAACTCTTGCACATCATTTCCTGCAAATACTGTATAAATGTAAGTAATTTCATGACATACGTCCACCTGTTTAATTCTGTAATAGTTCTAGGCCAGTACAATGACATACATCACTCACTGAGAGAAATGAGGCTTGCCTTTTAAAGTAAATTTATAAGTGAGCAGAAAAAAATGTACACTTTGGTGTTGAATATTTCAAGAAATTCCTCCTCAAATTAATGTCACAAGGACATCACATCAGGTATCATATACTGTACATGTCTCTACTTAGCAGAAACACTTTTTAAATATAAAGTGCTGGAAGACTTAGCCACTCTTTAAACTTTGTATTATTTTTTCTGACAGTATACAAGCACACTTCAAAAACTTCAAATCAATTCAACTGCAAAATATTTCCGTCACATTATAGGCAGCCTTGCCAAAAACAGCCACATGAAATGCTAATAAACTCACATATCATATTCACATTCTCAGGCTCAGAAAATTAAGAGCAATGGGATATTAATGAAAACACTGTTACCACCTTATTATTAAGCCTGGCGGCATACTGTAGCTATGATAAAGTACCTGATAAATTGCACATCATTACTGCATAATATGTACAGTTTTATAAGGTTAATATGTAGCTGCATACAAGGAAGGAACGCTACATTTACTCAAGGATAAATACATTAAAACTTTCAGGAAAGCAGAAGTGGTGAAAGTTTATTATAGGTTTCCAAGAAATTTATTACACTCTTCAATGAAATGTACATTCATGTGTGATGTATAAAGACACAGCACTACTCAAAGAAAGGAGGACTGACATTTTTTTAGTATTTTAAAACGGAATCCTTTCGATAATATAATTCTGATGGTGGATATAATAATAATACACAACAGATAAAATAATTTTATTTGTAGTTTTCTGCGAAATTCCTCATCAGAGAGCCTTTTTTAGAACTAGACTAAACCAAAATAGGGCAGACCTCTCCGTTTTTTTCTGCATGATGAAATGAATATTAATCATAAATAATAACAAAAAGCAACAACAACAAAACCTACATAATCTGCAAACAACAAAATAAAAGAGGTGAGTACCATATAAGGTGTAACTAAGGTGTAAAACACTTCCTGCTTTGGAAGACAGGTACTGTAAGTTAATGTGAAGGTCATAACGTTCAAATGTCGCTCCTTAAAAACAGATACCTACACTATTAAGCCCTTAGGAGATTAAAACTGTCAGTTTGATGAACTACTGGTAGATCTACTACTTGTCTTGGAAACAATCGTATTAAAGAAAAGCGTATTAGCATAAACATACCATTTTTAGTTTCCATAAAACACATTTTAGTAATGGATGTATGGTAACATCATGACAACATAAACTATTTAAGTGAACTACCTTAAAAATGTTCAGCACTGTGTAATTGTGTTTACTTTTCCCATATAGTACTCAACCACAGCTTGAATGCGCGCAAACTCATCTCCATCTCCAGCAGTCGTGAAGACAACTAGGAAGATAATAAACTTGGCTAAAGCTACGTTTATGCTGGCATAAGTAAACACAAAACCTCAGTCAGAAGTAAATATAATTTTCAAACATCCGCTTAGAATATCTACACACTGCTGGTGACACTAGTAATTGCCAGAGAAGTTTCCATTCATATGACAAACAAAATCAAATAAAAACAAGCACCCTACAGACACACTCACCTGTCTTTCACACGGGGCATCAATAAAATCCCGGTGAGTGTTTAAATTACCTCCCCTACCATACTTGCCTGAATCACACAAAAAGGCAAGGTATTAGAAGGCTATCTATAGCTTGGTAATTCCAATGGTAACTGGACTGTCTCGCTGCTGCTCCTTTACTCGATCTCAAGTCACACACTGAGCGACTCCCATGTCAGGTCCCAGCCCCCGCACAGCTTCTGGTGCGGGAGGAGTCGGTGAAGCCACAAACCCACAGTGAACCACTCCTCTTTCATCACTCCACCCTCCGGCTTTCAGAAAGCTTTTCAAATCCAGGGCAGCAAGCTGCAGTATGCCGTTGCTAAGACTGTATCATAAATATATATATATATTCTTTATGCGCTTTCTTTTGAGTGCAGACTGTCGTCGCAGAGAGCTTTTTTCTTTCTTGTTTAGGTTATCTCCGGGTTAGTACTAAATCACCCAAGGCTTCGGTGAATTAAGCAATCTTTATGAATTATAAAAAGAGGAATATTGTACAGTATGTGTACGAAGGTTTCAAATTTGCTTTTGATGCTTCTGACAAAACATTACTGTTAAACGTAATGCATTTAATAAATAATAATAAATTACCTATGACCAGCCAACTCTGCGAACATCAAATAAGTAAACACACCGTAACCGGAGGGAAATTATTGTGAACACCCAATATTATCATATTTACGTGGGATACTAGTCCTGTGTTGTTGTTGTTGTTGTTGTGCAAACCTATAATCATAAATTGCTTTATTGATTTAATAATCGATTAAATATCCCTTTGACTAGCATTTTTTGCTCAGGAATTGGGGAGTTGCGTGCAGTCCTAACAAAATAAACAAAACATCTTCGGCTAAAGTAAAACAAGCCTGCTCAGAAATTGTTTTCCCCCCTAACGCACTCGTGTGTTTTCTTAACACAGGTTTGTATAAAAGAAAAACAAGTTTTTGTTGTTACATGATGATCTGAAACAAAAAAAATGTACATTTGTTTCTCTACAAACTTGCCTGTTCCACACATACAGGGGTGTGTATTCCACGTTTTGGAGTGTTAATCGTGCATGGAAGACACAATGAAATGCGTAGGGGTGTGTTAGTAGTTATTTTCCCACATACTGTATGGAATACTGTTTTCTTTGACCAGATACTGTATGCATCTGCCTACAATTGCAATAAAGACAGAAGAGAAAGAACAGCAATTTGCCATTTTCTATTGTCTACGAGAGTTTTAAAATTAAGATAGTAATGCTATCCTCCTTACAAAATATGTACGTTGCCTACTTATATTGTCTTTACCGTACAGTGTATTGTCCAAAACACACGCCTTCCTCGCTGAAAAGTAAACTCGCTTTAGGATTCAGCGTTCACTTGCCCGCTCCCTGGGCAGTACCCGCTGGAACTCCCAGTGCGTGATATTCGTACGACCCAATGTGCTGAGAAATCGATAAATTTAGGGTAATGTCATAGAAAAGAGATGCAGCCTTCGTGCCATCAATACAGACAGCTTCAATAAAAATCAGATTTAGCTCGGCGGATTGTTAACAGTGGATAAATGGGTATTAACTGAATGTTATATAACAGGCTTTGTCAGGAGTCATCCAGAGTTTAATGGTTAAGAGGAAGGTGTGATTGGGGCAAGAAAATGTTACTAAAAAGTGCAACAATCATAATAATAAGATACATTTTTATATTCTACTTAAACTACACTACCATTAAATTATTTACCTGAGTAATAAACCGTGTACCTCCAGATTTATCTTTATAGGTATTTGTGTGCTGTTTGTGTTGAGATGCATACAGTACATTGATTGCTCAGATATTGCTACATTCTTTTAGTATGCATTTGTTATTATTGTTCATATTATTATTGATGTTGTATTTAGCAGATGCCTTTATCTGAGTTGATTTTCAGTAATACACACTACTAAAAGGAATACAAATTATATGTATAATTTTTTAAATCACTATTTAAATTGTAGTAAGAACTGAACAAACTGCAAACTATAACACGTACACCAATAAATACAGAACTGGGAGTGGGCTAGTTAAAGGCATCTTTAAAAAATGAATTAATGAATGATCGACTGAATGTATTTTACAAGGCTGGAACACTCTAACACCATGTAAATCTGTCACACACATCCAAACGTGTCTTTTCACGCAGTACTTTCAGAACGTATAGGTAGAAACTACTTATGCTCTAAATGCATTTGTGACAGAGGGGTGTTGGGAGCATTTTTACAGCTGTAATTGCTGATATGGTGTTGTGTGTGCTGTACAGTATGTGCACAAATGTAAACTGAATCGCTGTTGTATTG